CAAAATGTTACCACCGGGGTTTCTTATATTGTGTCATTTACGGTAGTCTGATGGGTCCTTTTTTTGCGGCGATTTTTATTTTCTAAAACCTACATGATTTATCTGACTCTTTGAACAACGAAGGCGAGGATGGAGTCCACAAGGGAACAGAAGGGGGCACTGGCAGTGGCTACTTGGGTGCCGGAAAGCGGAACGCGAAAGTCACCCTAAAACACGTGATGAGAGAGAAAAAGGGGCTGAACCCGGGTTTCACCCGTGCGAGGTGCTTGCAGGGAGCAGGCAAGGAGTGTGGGAGGTGCAAGTATATCAAGGAGTGGGACGGGCTCGCGATCCCGGACCTACGACCCGGCGCGGCCCGGGATGCGTGGGTCGCTCTCTTGAGGTATCACATGATCCGCCGGCGGGTCGGGGGCAAGGTCCAGACTCCCCACATCGGTGGCCTGTCGCCGTGGGAGTGGGACGCCTACACTGGTCGTTCCCTCAAGAGCAACGAGGGGGTGGTGTTTCTGACGTCTCGGCAAGCGAGTCAGATCGTAAAGAAGCACAACGATTTGTACAAAGAGTGGCTGAAGAAGATTCCCAACAACAACTAGGTTGCCGCGTTGTCGTGCAGATCGAAATCCCACTGGGGTTCGGTAGGCTGTCAGCTGGGCAGGCAGGCCCTCGTTGTGANGATCGTAAAGAAGCACAACGATTTGTACAAAGAGTGGCTGAAGAAGATTCCCAACAACAACTAGGTTGCCGCGTTGTCGTGCAGATCGAAATCCCACTGGGGTTCGGTAGGCTGTCAGCTGGGCAGGCAGGCCCTCGTTGTGATGTAGTCTCGTGCGTCCCCCGAACCATGTCGCTGGCTCGCTAGTCGTGTCGATTGACGCAAAACCAAGAGTTTGCGTGAACCTCCCGTGGGGGCTCGGTTCTACAGAGACAAAGTGCATTCTATGAAAAATTGTGTGTTGCCGTTGACGGGACGGGTTTTGCGGTCGTACGGGTGGGTCTATGCATGTCTTGACCGAGCTAGGCTCTCCCCTGGAGCTCCTGCATTCTAGGCCGACGATGTAGTTTCCAGTGCTATAGGCAGAGAGAGAGAAAGAGAGACGGCTGCCGTACCGTTGTCGTTTTGTTTGGCTTTATTCTATATCCGGGTACTGCGGGTCGACATTCCAAACATAGAGGAAAATTTTCACAATCACTCACCGTCATTTACGATGGTACATGGCCACCCGTTGGCTTTTGTGAGTTTGTGTATGTATATCGATGTTGGGTCAATGGGCCCGTGTCGACACATTATGTCAATTGAGCGGGGTCGACGGAGCTATGATGATTGTGTGTATTACTGTTTATTTTAGACTCCCCAATGTTACCTGTGCTTTCGTTACAATCAAAACATTGATGTCGGCATTTTTTTGTAGATGGTGTGTTGTGGGTTCATAGTTGGCAGTCAAGACGAGCTCTGTTGTCGTGGAACGATATTTTGTTTGATGTCGATCACGCGCGCAAGTGCACGGGTTGTATATACTGGTATCCCGGGGGAAGTCGTTGCAGTCGACTCCGTGATGGTGTGTCACAGGGTGTCGTACAACGAAGGCTTGTTTTGTGCGTTGAGCTGCTGTGCCACCAACAGCTCAACGAAACATCCTCCTTGGAAATTTTCCGCGCACATTCCGCGTCGTTGGTTTTCGCGGAGGGGAAAGTTTTAGGGAATGCCACCGCACTTGGCTTTGATTGGATCAATGGCAAGCTTGGCAGGGTGCATTCGTATGATGTCGGGTTAGGGTATGAACCCTTTCGTCGTGTGAACCGATTGGTAAAGTTTTTTTTTTGGCGTGTCGATGTCACTGGATGTGTGTGGATTTTCAGAATTCAAGATATCGCTTTGGGCCTTGAGAGATCGCGAAAACGATGCGATGGCTGATGCGAGGGAGCAAAAAATGAGCAAATATGCGCCGCCTACTCCAACGTACCTTCGTACCTTCGTGTATGTCGTTGTTGTTATGTTCAAAAATGTGTTTTCCCCTCGGCTTCGCGCACGATGGCAACACAACACTGGTCGTTATCAGAGGCCAGGTTACGTCACCGTGTAACATCCCCCACACACACCCAGGGTAGGTGCTGGTTCTGTTATCATCATTATATGTATCTGGGTGGACAGGATTGTAGATGAGCAGCTACCAAACCTGCACTTGGTCACTTCCTGTCGAGCCCATATCAAATTAAATGTACTTTCAAATAATTTTAATTAATTTTCACGTCGTAGACTACACTTGTCAATACTATTGTTACACCATTCAATTGGAGTGATTTTCTTTTAATCAACCGCTATACCACGTTCGTACAATCACCGACCCACTGCCTATAATGACGGTCTTCAATCCCCTCTACCCTAATGACTAAACTCCTACGCTGCAACGCTTGCGACAAATGACCCACAACTACCGCCACCCACCCTACCTGCCAAATCCAAATCATGTCCTTTGAATGCCCGATAGGAAATCGCGGAATGCAGCACTTAAAGATCACCAAACACGTGCCAACCACCATCCGTCGGCAAGAGTTTCCTAGCTGCGATGTTGGCTGACTTGCTGTAACGTTGATTTATCTCTGCGGCCGTAAGACAGGAGGTGTCTTTCATGCCGCGCAACCTTTTGAGACCTTCGATGAAGTGGTCGTACTCACACAACAACAGGACCCGGGTCAAAGCTCCCATCTTAACCTCTGATTCACAGGGGCCACATGTGCCTGGTGAAAAGTTAGTGTTCCCAGCAAGCTCCGCTAGACCTCTGCCGGACACAAACGACAACGCGCAAGCAAGTTCAAAGCATTTCGGGCGTGCGTATCTGATGATGGACTCCATGGTGTCGATGAGATCGCTCGCGTGCACCGTTAATCCACGTCTGCACTTGACCTCCAAGGATTCCTGGCGTTTTATTTTCGGCATGCTTTTCTCCTCCGGCGTGAGCTCTAACCGGGAGACGTAGGGCGGTAGCAAGCGCACCTTCCTAAGGAGGTCGTCAATATCGGCGAGTCCAGTGAAAGACACCTTCCGCGAGTGTATCGCGCGCCGGGCCGACCACTTTCGGGGAAGGTCTAATTTCCCGAATTTCCCGAATGACACAACGCGATCCCAGGCCGTCTGTAGCTGTTTCAGGCATCCCTTCCGCATCTTCGACTTCTTTGCCGTGGATGACTCCTTCTTGATAAGGACGAGCAATTGCCGTATTTCTATCTTGACGGGACCTGCGTTGTGCCCGGCGCCGAAATTTTGTATCCACACTTCCCGAACCTTCGCAACTTTCTTGTTTTAAGAGCCAGGGTGGAGCTTTCTCAGCACCTCTAGAACCTCGAGCGGATTCTCGTGTTCCTCCAACCATTTGGCGCACATTGAACACTACTAACAACGACACATATAATATCCTGTATTTTTCTTACAATAGGGCTACCTCTCATCCTTCCCGCTACTATCTACTTTCTTCTTTTTTGTGCGCCCTCTCCCCAGGCTACCACGAGCGCGATTGCACCTTAGGCACTTCACGTCCACATTTTCCGCGGTGTGGGGCAGCGAGCAGGCGATCGAGCGTTGGCTGCCGTTCACTGTAAACAGCCCAGACAAGCTCGCAGGTGCACAGGTTGCATCCACTTCCGTAAGAGTTCAGGAGTTCTTGAACAAGGGCTTCTCTGTGCCTTCCACCCTGTTCGGGTCCAAGACGCCCGGCCGTAACGTCGACATAGATGTAGCTCGAGACTTTCCTAGAAACCCATGATACCCTCTCTCGGTCGAACATGTTGCTCTCGCTGCGGTGAATATCGTCGATGACCCTCACGTTCGAGGGTCCGGTCGCTCGGCTGACAGCCGTATACAGCCAGTGCACGTCGGCGTGAGGATGCCGGGCCTGATGTATGATCAACTTCCCTTCCACGGTACGGCCTTGGACCGCGTGTACTGTACATGACCCCGGGGGGTCAAACAAGTTTTCTGCCTCTGCTCGACAGAGTGACGTCTCCTCCAGACTGACGGTCCCGTCAAAAACGCTTGCGACAAGGACCTCATCTGCTGAGGATCGGATGATGTCGTAGGTGTGATTCTTGTGAACCTTGCCCAGGTTCCCGAGGTCCCGGTATTGAGCACCTACAACTGTTTGACGCCCCAGCCCATCCCAGCCACCAGCTTCGTCGCACCCCAGCAACCCTCGAAAGGCGTGGAATCGAGCACAGTCTCTAGTGTAAGCGAGGTGAAAATCTGAAGGGCTGGGGTCGCTAGCCGTTGGGAATTCACCACCAAACCTCTCAATGGCTCGAGTTTGCGCCTCGTGACTGTCGTCTCCTGCAGCCAGAATGTACAAGAGGCCGTCGTCCATCTCCACCTGTTCTTCGACAGTCTTATCCCGCTTGCGCGCGAAGACGTGAAAGCATATGGGGAATGCTTTTTCGAGGATGACCCTCCTGTCGACGTTGGCCTTGCTAATTGACATGCCGCTGCTATCGCACACGGGTTGGAGTTGGTGCGTGTCGTATGTCCCTATCACGTGGGTGCCGCTGCTGTGGGCAGCAGCCAGGATCATGCTTAAGGTCCGGAGAGGCATGTAAGCAGCTTCTTCGATGATGATTACGTCAACCTTGAGCGTTCGTATCGACCCCGCCGTTTTCCTCACGTGAGAACCATTCCCCAGGGAGAAACCGAGCTGGTGGTCGGCGGTCTTTACACTCCACCCGCATGGCATGTCTGTGAAGGCCGTTCTCAGAATACTGGTGGGGGTTAAGACGAGCCCAGTTTTAAAGATGGCCGTTGCAGCACGGGTAGCGCAGTAACTCTTCTCCGCCCCCCCCGTGTTCTCCCGTCACCGCACACACGAGCCTTGAACCTTGTTGGAGCATGTGGGCGCGGAAAAAACTTTCTCGGCCTCGCCTATCTCTGGCCACAGGTTGCGCTTGGCGTTCTTCTCGAGAGAACGCCAGACGTCGTGAACATATTCCATCGAACTGAAGCCTCCACCGATGCCATCCCACAGAGGAATGACCCGCAGACAGTGTTTCGGTGGGCAAGGAATTCGCCTCATTGCTGGAGATAACGCGTCTAGCGATATCTTGGCTTTGATGCCACCGAGCACCCGCCTCTCATCATAGCGGATCCTTCAAGGCTGGTTCGAACTTTAGAGTGCCGGGAGTTTTTGTTTCGTCGCCTTTAAACAAATCGCTGAAGCGAAGTCTCATCTTCTCTTGCACGGACGAAGATCCCCTGAAGAATACCGCGTCGCACTGGTAGCTAAAGTCAGATGTGCCGCAAGATTCGAGAGCGTTCCTCGCCCTCAACATTCGCAATCGAGTTTCGTCAAGAATGAGCACACCCAACGCTCAGGAACCATCTCTGTACCATGTTTGTTCCGCATCCAAACAAAGGTATGTATCACCGGTGCGAAGTGACTCGATCCCAAGCTTCTCCTGTCCCGTCCGAAGTTCATCCTTCACGCGATCGACCTCGCCTAGGACAGGCACAATTTTGCCGCCCACAGCGAAAGCCTCGTCACAGCCCGTAACCATGACAGCGTCTATCCTGTCTGCGTATCTCTGCTGCAACATACCACTGGCCCGCACGAATGTTCCTTTTTTGAATTTGCGGGCACAGTCTGCATCCTGTAGGAGGCGATCACCCAACTCATGCGCGAGCAGGTCTTTCGCCAGGGTGGGTATGTGACACATGCTGACTATCCTCGACGGTCGCACGAAATGGGTAACTCTATGGCGAGCAGCAGTGTCGACGAGGTCGAGGTAACGCTTGTAGTTTCGACCGAAGACTGGTGTTACATCCGCGTTCAAGAGTTCGTCAGGTTTGCCGAGTGCATCCAGTTCTATTTTGTACAGGGTCCAATCCTCAATGTCGTGGTCATGGTACTCCTCCACCTCATCCACGTGGCCGAAAACGGGTACTACCGCCATGCTCATAAGGGCCGCAGTGTGTGCCCCGTTGATGTCACACTGCCAATCTTCCGGCCCGTAAGAAGTCCCCGACACTTCCTCGGCACCGACGATTGGTCCCCGCCAGCATACCTTGAGAAGGGCGAGGAGAGACTGGCTATACTGGCTCGACACTCTAAAGTCTAATACCCCGTGGGAAAACTGCAGACCCAGCTCATTGTGCAGCTCGATCAATCTTGTCACTTGGTCGGGCTCGAACTCAACCACGTTCGGATGGTTATACCGTGTGCCGGCACCGACAGGGAGTCCCAGTGGCTGTAGCTGGAAAGCCTACCCCTGCAAGAGACTCCAACGAGGTGCAAGTGGAGCATCAGCTCCTCGAGAGCCGTTCCCGGCGGCGCGTACCACATATTGAACTCTGATGTTTTTCCACGCTTCCGCTTCTTCCGTGCTGCCTGTTGGGGGCCGTCCTCCACCTCTGATTTGTTGATGGCCATGAGATCGCTCACAATATCAGTGACACACGTGAAGGCCTTGCTTCCGCACTCAGTGGTGTCCGGTTCCTCCTTCTCTTCGATTGCCTCGGCAGTCCGACGGAATCTACGCTGGGTTCTGACACTATGTTCGATGGCCACGTCCAAAGATGATCCAAACCGGTTACACCATGGCCCGTCGAGCTCCAACCGGTAAACGTCTCCCTCACGAACTCCAACGTGTAATCCTCGCGGCCGGAGGTCTGTTTTCTTGTCGATTGGCCCGAGAACGTGATCACCAGAGCCCCTGTATGACCACACGACGACGTTCGCCTTGGTCTTGATGAGCCACTTTTCCAGGTCTCGCAGTTTACGGGCGGGTGGTTCACTAACACCAGCAAGCCACATACCGAACTCTTCGCTCCCCACGTCGCGACCAAGCAGCACCGGAAACAAGTTTTGGAAGTAGTTGCCACCATCCGATGCATTCCTTAATGGTGTGGTGGCACCCCCCTTTTGCCGCCCACCACCAGTCGAGTTTATGAACGAACCCGTGATGGGGTTGACATCCCGGAATCCAAATCTCCGTCGCTCTCGTATCAAGAGATCAAGTTGACAGTCTCGCCAGGCGTCCGCGACGAGTACAGCGAGGCAAGCACCCGGGAGTCGTTTCTTCCACGTCATGCCGAAAGTTGTTAGAGGTTCGTATCTCACAACCCTGTGACCAAAGGATGCGATGTTGAGCTGTCTGAACCTAGGACTCGAGGACTAGATGCCGGCGCGGACTTGGAGGTTTGACAAGGACGCCGGGATGCCTTCGTGGTCGATCTCGATCCTTCTGCCCGCCGATCCCCAGCAGAGAATCGCTCGCCAGGTGTCATCCGCCGCTGAGACTACTAGCTGCCCGCGACCACCGCCCTCGACGTCAATGAAGGCGGTTTTCCAAGCATCTGCGTCTCTCGGGTGGACCAAATCGCGCCGCCACGTCCTTGTTGCCCAGGATTGAAAGTTTTCCAGTGAAGGATCACCGCCGGCAGGATGCGAATTGAACCATCTATATTCCGGTCCACGGCGCGAAACGGAGATACGAACCCGGTATCCTGCACCGAAGACCGCCTGTCGACGGTACATTACCCCTCGTGGCCCTTTGTAGCGCCACCCATTACTCCTGTTTGCCAGGGGGGCGGCCTGATCCACCTGCTCCACGTAGCACCATCTTTATCCTGGTTGTTGATGGGGTGATGACCCAGTCGTCGATGCTGCAAGACTTTTTTTGAGGTGGTGCAACATTTCTGTGTTTTTTACCGAAAGCAGTTAATTGTAAGAACACAATATATATAGATAGTCTGTGCAGATTGGGGCGAATCGTCAACCACGGTATTTATTTCTGATTAGTGTAAGTGGGTATCGTTTGGATGTCTGGAGATGACCAAAACTAAACTACAGTTTTCGCCTTCTCGTGTCCTGTTGTTGCCTGGCCTGTCGCAACAGCTATGCGACTTTACTACATTACAGCACACATAACCGACGAGAGATCCTCTGATGATGGTTGTCCCGCTACAACTGCTAGAGTAAATGTGCCAATTAAGGACCACTTAAGCCCCCCCCCACTCAGGCAGCTCGTTCTCTGGCGTCACGATGATTTATGAAGAGGTTGGGGTATCGGATGATAGCTTAGAGCACACCCTACCAGCCCAAAAACCTTTTTCTGAAAAAAAGTCAGGTGGCGATGAAATATAGCCCTCGAACTATACCTCATTTTCCAGAAAAAAATGCGGGAAAAATGACGGGGCCCCTACTAAGGACCACTTCGGGTAGTGGCCGATTACGCAGGTTCGAAAGCGTTTCAAGACCTGAAATTTGGCACAAGCTGGTAGCATAATGTAGATTCCATAAAAAAAAAAATACGGTCCAAACCCGGGGACAAAATGCCTGTATCCCCGTTTTTTCGGCTCCATTACCGGGGGCGGAAAATACCCCTTTTGGGGAATAACGCGCGTTATTTGCCGTGAACCGCTTCAACCGTCGTATTCTGATGCACGAACGACTCGTGCGCATCCTATTCGAAGTCACAACAAAAAAAAACGACAAACGAGAGCCTACAAACGATATTATGGCTGTGCAAACATGGGTACTTTTCCCCCTTTTTTGACTTGGACGGCAGCAAGATCCGCCTGAAACCTGCGAAGAGTTTAAGCAACCATTTTGCACCCATATAAACCCCCCACCACACGCCGTTTGACAGAAACGCGCTGAAGGTTGCAGAAAACACGTTGGAAACGAAAAAAAAAA